GCTTTCGGTACATCATCCGATCAGAATCGTCAAACTTCTGTGTTTGCATCATCGGTGGGCCACGGCCGGGAATCTGTCTGGCGGTATCCGGCCTCTGCTGTTTCTTCAGTGTCGCTGGGACAATCTCCTGGGGCAAATGAAGGAACTCGCGCAGATATGTAATTCCCTCGTTCGTCAACCGCCAGTAGTAATGTCTCCATGCAAACTGCTCTTTTACGTAATCGCGGCTGACCAGCGACTAAAAATAGTTATCAAAACCAAGGAAACGCATTAAGACTAGGAATTCAACACCTGCATTGCTTTAATAACATGCAAATTTGGCACTGGAATTTCAGGATGCTTTGCCAAATGGAAGTCCTTTTTCGCCACACATACTCCTTCCTTGAATAGATACTCGTAAATGGCGATCCTATTCTTCTTGGGCATCAACATCTTTGTTGCACTTTGACGGAACACGACGCAACGTGAATGGAAAACCGATGTGCGGATTTTACCGGTGATTCTGAAGTAAACCCAACATGAAGTAGGTAGTACATTATAACGAATCACAATTACCGTGTCGAAATTATTTATTAACCGTCATTATTTAATTGAATTTACTGCTGAGAAAATGGTTTAAAAGATTACGCCTTTTATTTTAATTTGGTACATATTTTTTATTACAGAGACACTTGAAAAGTTGGCTCATGTATTGGTAGTCAAACTGAAAAGAACAAAATGCAATTTATTCATACGCAATACAACAATGTTGTTCAAGAGGATCGACTAGCTATCAACAAGAAGAATACTACATGCAATAGGTGACTTGGAAGCATTGAATCGTACACTTTAAACCCGCACGAAAAAGCGCGCAGAGCCGCAGTGAAAGCAGTCGCCGAAGCGAAATGTGATTTTTCAATGAAGTTCGGGCAAGGATTGGATTCGAATTTTCAAATGGAAAAGACCTATTCTTGCAGACCGTCCGCCATTACGAAATAAAAGAAAGCACAGTCTAATAGCACTAAACGATAAGTCTAGGCATTGTTTACTACGGAAGGAAATATACGTACGCGATTGCGAGAATACTTTCAGCACATTTTAACGCCAAAGAACGATAAAAACACTTGCCTAAGGTCAGAAAATAATTGGTATTTCCGTAGACAGTATTGTAGACGATACTAAACGCTTGATAAATCTCAGTGTTGCTAGAATCGGTGAAATATATCATGAGATGCATAAACTTTTAGGATAATTATGTTGGACTAATAAGTTTCTGTGAAACTACATTGACTACGGAAGAAATACCGATGAATTGCAGAAATAAAATGATAGTAGATATGTTCACTAAGGTAGATCATAGGAACTGTTCCAATTTTAAGTGCACTACCTTACTGCGACCACATGAAAAGTCTATGCGAAGGTGCGGGAAGGGAGGTGGCGTGGAATACTTAAATCTAATATTCAGTAAGAGCACTGTGGCCTAAAGTCAAGCTAAAATAACTCTTACCTGGTCTTTGCAAACTCCTCTGCTAAAAATTCGTGGGATTTCGCTCATTCAGATTACAGGTGCTTTTGGACATGGAAAGGGCCTGAGACAACGTTAATCGCATCGAGCTATTCGAGTGCTTGCAAACACGTGGCATCAATGGGTAGTTACTACTAGCCATTTTGTAACAATATATTGATGGCAGGCGATGCGTAAGAGTAAATGGCGTTAAGTCGTATCCTTTGAACGCTAGCATATGTCACCGACAAGCTGCATTCTGTCCTTGCCTGGTTTGTGTTGCAAGGAATAGTGAATTAGCGTAGAAGAGCCAAGGTCATTATGAAAATATCGAAGTAAAATATTATGAAATGAAACTTTTTCTGTTTCCAGGCGACCTTGACATCATCTGCAGCTGATCTCGAGCGCTCATTGGAAAATTAGAGAGTTGAGTACGATGTTGCGAGCATGCATGTAAGCGCATCTAAGAAAGCAGAAAATCTTACTGCTTTCTTTTCCTCCTTCTTGCTGAGCTTTGTGGATAAACGCATAAACAGTGGAATAGGTGGAAAAGCAAATGTACGTAGAATTTGAGTTTACTGATGGCAGAAAACGCGTGGATGATATCGACCGTCGAAGTTAAACTGCTCATAGTAACATTTCTGGCAAGAATCAATTCTTTTTTGGCCGAACTCAAATAATGTGTTCAAAAATTCAGATGAAAGTTGCAAGTGTATGGCACATATGATCAATATGATAGTCTAGGTTATTTTCCCATATTCTTACAACTAGACCGAATTGTGCACATATGAACTTACATTTCATGATGGCTGTTAAATTACTGTATTGCGATCGTTCTCCGAAACGCACTTTGGC